CATGTGCCACCATGCCCAGCTAATTTTTTTTTCTATATATTTTTAGTTGTCCAGATAATTTCTTTCTATTTTTTTAGTAGAGACGAGGTCTTGCTCTTGCTTAGGCTGGTCTCGAACTCCTGAGGTCAAACAATCCGCCCGCCTCGGCCTCCCAGAGTGCTAGGATTACAGGTGCGAGCCACCGCTCCTGGCCGCGTTTCTAGCTTTTCAAATCACCATCACAGCCAGTTTAATGTCCCCCTACCAAATGTCTCTTAGTTCACCATGTTACTACTAATAGTAAAAAAATAGTTAACTTAGTTTATACGAAGCAATTAGAATGATACCGTCAATAATGTCCTTAGTTCTTACCTTTGTGTTTTTTTTTTAATCTCAGGTTAAAACCCTCTCTACAGTTTGTCTCCTGGAATCAAGAAGGCTGGAAGACCAGCCTGTGTTCAGTACCTCCTGTGGGTCATTCTCATTCATTATTAGCTTTAGCAAATAACACATGTGTGAAGCCTACCTTCGTGGAACTGAGAGAGAGGTTCATGAGGCTCTACAAGAAAAAGGTAATTATCATACACCTTTGTAACTGTATGTGTTTATTTTGGCTATTTAAGATGTATACTTAAGAATTACACTATTACAAATCAGGGGTGATCTTGCTTACTATATTTGTTGTACTGATTATAACTGAAGAGGAGAGGCTTACTCATACTATTATTACTCTAAATGACAAATTTCCTGAGTTTCTAGGATTTAGGCAAAATATTCCATTTAACACACGTTCTCATTTCCATTATAAAGCTGAATGAACTATAGTTTTAATAGAACATATTTACCTTATGGGATAACTGTGTGTATTAAAGTTCCTGCAATGGTAAACATCCAGGTTTTCTTAATTTATAGGCTCACCTTCATCACTATCTACAAGTTGAAGGGATGGAAGAAAGCTGTTTCACAGAAGCTGTGTCATCCTTGTCAGCACTCATACAGGAATATAACCAACTGGATGCCACAAAAAGCATGCCTGTGCCAGATATACCTAGATTAAGCATAGCTGTGTAAAAAAGAAACACAAAAAAATATAACTTTTACTTTTTCTTAATTTCACATTTTTTTGTCACCCTTCTGTTTCAGCATTTTTGTGATTCAGAAATTTGTGTTTCATATCAGCAGGAAGTATTTTTGTCTAAAAGAGTGGTTTCTGTTTAATCACAATTTGTTGATGATACTAGTGTATGAAATTAGTGAAGTCTTAGTACCTTAATATCAAGCATTTGTCTTCAGAAAAGTCCCCTTTTCTAAAGTTGAGAGAATGGAGTTCTTCAATATTTTGCTTTATTTATAGCCTAATATTTAGGCATATATATACATTGATAACATGTTTTCAATAAAAATCTTACACAGATATATTTTTATATTTATTTATAATTTATATTTTGATATTGTTTCAATTCTCCTGATTCTTTAAAAGTAGGTACTGAGAGTAAGAGAATACAGTATAAATATTTCCATGTGATATCCACTAACTTTTCCAGGATAGGTTTTATTACAACTGTTAAAGAGGTTTTGTTTCTTCTTTAGATAACAACTTATTTTCACTCAAAAGAATCACAATTTATACATTTAACATGTATTTGTATTAAATTATTTTTTAAATAATTGCTTTCTTATCAAAACAATTGATTTTATAATAATAAATGTCCATACTTTTAAACAGTGCTGCTAGTTACTATTTTGCATGTCACTATTTATGCAAGTGAACAGAACATTACTCAGCTTGATGTCTCCTTCCAAATTTTGCAGTAAATGGCTGTAATCATATATATATAAAATTTGAAAAGGAGCCTTTTGAAAAGCTACTAATGCCTTAAATACAATGATCTGAGAATAGCTAAGCATTCTTACTTTTTTAAAACCAGTAGGTTTGCCACCCTTTTATAATCACTCTAATGTTTTTATTATATGACATGATTGACTTTTCCCCCATATGCTTGGCTTTATAGAATCTTGAGCTCAGAAAACATATCTCCAGGTTCTCTGCAGTTTCTCTGACATACGCAAGATATAATCCACAGCATCTTCCATGTAAATGACCCTTCATTTGGGCAATCAAATTGAATGGTAATCATTTTAGACTTATTGGGGATGCAACATCTCTTATCCGAGCATATTCCACAAAAAGTGGGTTTGTAACTCTGAGTACTTGAGCATCCAGAAAAGACAAACTTTTCAGCTTTGGAAAGTTGGAAGGTAGGTTGGCATGTTTTTCCTTTGGGGATCTGAAAAGATACATAAATTGGATTATAATAGTTTAGAAAAATGATATTATATAGAACATTTTATTGCACAAACATACAGATGTAATTATTTCTGGAGCAGTAATAATAGTTGCTATGTAGTTACTTCCAGCACCCTCTTTTCTCTGCCCTTGAGATCTCCTCTCACCAGAGGTCTGTCTTTATTATTCATCATATTATAAGATCCACTCCGCAGTGGTTTTTGCATCTTTTCCTCAATTACATAATAAATAGAAATTTCTGTTTTGTTTAATATCAGGGGCCCTGTCTCATTAAATGCTTATTTAACTAAGACTTGGAAAATTCCCTAACACAGCTTAGATACTTTTGAGTGCAGGGGTAGATGAATAAATATCTTAATCCTTCTAAAATTGAGTTGTCAATTTGCTAATATGATAGGGAATAATTTAGGGATGAGAAGGATTTTGTAGCCTTTCAAAAAATTATTCTCGAGACAGACGTCTTGCCTAGTTCAAGAAGTAGGACCAGCTCTAGTTACACCAAGCAATCTTAGAGTAAATATTCTATTATAGTCCTTTAGCAAGTTTACTATCTAAGCACAGAGCATTTTGGAAATGGTGTTGTCTCCTTTCAAGTCGGTGATAGATAACTGAGACCAGAACGTCTCTGATGTTCATACTATCTATTTTCATAAGTATGGTATAGCAACCAAAATCTTATATTTGTTGCTTTAATTTCACTATGTACAATAATACAGAAAAAAGAAGTTAGAATCTAAAAAGGATCTACTCTTAAAGAACAATATACATGGAGGGGTACCACAACAAATGAGACTGATCAAGACCCACATTATGAAGTTGTCAGAGTGTCTAGAATCAGCAGGTTAACATTACCTCTCTGCTTGGTAAAATTTTCCCCACAAAGTACAGTTAGATTAATATCTGTTTTCCTCTGAGATAGTTTGACTTTAAGAGTTATAATGAGGTGGTTTTATTTTTCGAAGAACCAAACACCATCCGTCTCTTTAAAACACAAACATATTAATACTTTTAAGAAATCTCTTAATATTGAATTATAATTAAGTTAAATCTAGACTTTACCTTTACTGTGTTTGATATATTCCTGTCACAAGGCTGAATATAACACAGTCTTTTCTCTTTTCTCATTTCACAGTTGCTGTTCTCATTTGTTACCCTATTAGATATTCCCATCCCACATGTTCTGGAGCAGGGAGTCCACTTTGTTGCTTGCACAAGACATTTTCTTTTCCAAATAAGTGGGAGATTTCTATAAGCTAAAATAAGGCGAAAGTACATATTTATACACATATATGTACTTGTATGATAGATAATTTTTAATTATTTTTAAGCTAATATTAAAGAGATCTGAATTTTTATTTTTGCATACTGTAACTCAGAATAAAAGAAGTTTATGGTCTAATTTATCATTCTATATCCCTTTTCCCACTCCCCAAATAACCAAGTATTACCATCCAATTTCTTAAGAGGAATAAAAAATATCTGAAAAACTGAGTTGATTTACCCATTTGCTTCTTTCTGCTTAGCCTATCCTCTGAATACTAAACCTAAGCTATGTTCCAACTGATGTCTGTCTTTTCCCTGGTTCTTGCCTCATTTCCAGCAGACATTGAGGTAAACATTAAGATTAGGGAATTTGACCAGACTAGTGTGATCTTATTAAATTTCATCATATGTTAAAATCTAAAATAGAAAACTATTTGAGAATTAAACTGTCAACGAGACCAGTTTTCCTCCATGTGTTTTAATCTAGTCTTTGAGAAAATCTGTAATAAGCTCAAGTAATATTATACTGGACTAAACTAAATAATCATTATATACTAAGTCATTGCAAATGTGTTATCATTCATTCAGCTTAATTTTCACATTTCCTATGTTTTTGGCCCACGGTGCTCTCCAAGTGGCTGCCCATTTCAGATCACTTACGGAAAGGCAAAGGGGATAAATGGATGAATGGATCTATGGATAGGTAGGTGAGTGGGTGGATAGATAGAGCCCCTCCACTGTGTGCTGCTTCAGAGAAACAGGAGGGGAAGAGGGTAAATAATGAGATTCTAAGAGGGTGTAAATTTTTTCCATCTCCAGGTAAATTCATTGGGGGCTTCTTGTTATGAATGAATCAGGCCCTTTGGTTTATTTTAAGCAAACTACATAGTGGTTTATTGTCTCAAGGCATTTCCTTAAGGGTAATGTGCATTTTTAAATGAATGCTTTAGGAGTAAGTTTGTGATTTGAGTCTGCACAGGAAAATTCTGGCTCTATTGCTTCAAAAAATCAATTTAAAACTCTAAAAAGGGCCGGGCGCGGTGGCTCACACCTGTAATCCTAGCTCTCTGGGAGGCCGAGGCAGGCGGATTGTTTGAGCTCAGGAGTTCGAAACCAGCCTGAGC